CACCCCGCCCCCCGCGGGCGGGGGGGGGCGGCTCAGCCCCCCCCGCAGCCTCTGCTCCTCCTCCATCCTTCTCCCAAGAGCCTCCGGCGGAAGTGAGACGTACAACTCGACCCGCCCTCCGGCCCGGACCAGCTCCCGCGGCCTCCAGACCCCCACTACCCACTGTGCCAAGTGCCATCTCCCCTTTGTGACACTTGGACACTAAGGCGCAGGGATCCTAGTCTTTGGGGACCCTAGGCTACCGCCTTGAGGGACAGGCGGGACAGGGTGGAGCTGCCCTCCAGCTTGCAGGGATGCGAGGCTGGTCCCAGCCGAGTCTGTGCAGGCAGCTCTGGAGCCTGTGTTCCCTTGTGTTAAACACGTGCGGACAGCTAGCTGTCAGGCCTGCCCCAGCAATGCCACCTCCCAGCGGCACTAGACAATGCCCTCCCTGCCTCAGTTTCCAGTTCTGCAGCCTTTCCAGGGTGGCCCCACGGACAGGACTTCCAGATGCAACTTTACCACCATTTTAGTCCTATAGGGGGAACTGGGTTTCTCCACGAAAGAGAGAGGCAACGAAGCCGCGAAGCCCAGGGTACGAAGCACAGAAACCCTAGCTTCCTATCTAGCCAACAAACCCGCCCTGCAATCCCGCAGCCCGTCACTTGGTGGCAGCAGACGCCCAGGCACTTTAGTATATGCAGTGGCGTTCGCTAGTGGCTTTCTATTTCTCCACAGCCCCCAGGGGTCAGGGCTGTTCCAAAAGCCCGTCCTGCAACCATCTGACTCCCTGACCCCTCTTCCTAGGTCCTCCTCCCGTCCCAACCTTGCCTCCCCATCCCTAGACGAGGTCACCCCCACCGTGTGTGGTCCAACCTGCAATTTGTGTCCAGGCCAGTGTCTGGGGAAGGATTCTGGACTTTTCTCTCTGCAGACTTGAAGAGGTTGAAAAGTTGAATCTCCAAAGTATCCTAGAGTACACTCCAGGGTCTGTTGGGCATTGAGGTCTTTTGGAGAGTAGCCATCTTGGGAACCTGCCTCTACTAGGCTGAAGAACCCAGAGTGGTAGCCAAAGGTGCAGCCAATGCAGGAGCTGCCAGGGTCGGGTAGTCTCATGCTGTACATCAGCGGTGACCTGGGACTGGGCCACCCAAGTTGGAAGGCAGCTGTGATGAGTCCCAGGTCTAAGAAGAGCCTGCTGATGGAACACTCCCAGTCGGCCTGTCCCTGGTCCCCACTGGGCTGGCTCCTGGGCTTTTGATGAAAGTATCACTGTACTTTTGCAGGGGACCTTGAGGACTCTAGGAGGTCTGGTACCGACATCCAAGCAGGAGGAAAGTCCTGAAGAGGGTGACCAGCCAAGTGCCGAAAGGGCCCTGTGTGGGGAAGAAAGCACAGCTCAGCCACACCCTAAAACCAGAGCACAGAGGCCTTCCTGAGATCTCTAGCATACCAGCCTCTCCTGAACCCCTAATCTACAGAGCTCGGATACCCCGACTGCCTACACAGGTGCTATAGCCAGTTGGCTCCAGAGGGTCAGAATGAGGCAGAGCCAGAGCCTGTGTGACTAGGCAGACTTGCCCCAAAGCTGTGGGCTCCTGAAGGAGTTCTCTCACCAAGTTCTCTGAGGCTAAGGAGGTGCATGCTCTTAGGGCCCAGAAAGCAAGGATACTCCATTATCTTTTGGCCTTGGCCACTTCAGTGGACTTTTGGCTGTCAGAAGAAAGGCCCTGACCCCAGGACAGTCTGCACCAGCTGCAGAACACAGATCCTCCAGGCTTAGGACTCTAAAGCAAGAACAAATGCTGTTCTTCTGGGACTTTCCTTTGTTCCCAGGGTTGTCTCTCTTCCCTCCTTGCCACCAGGGAGGGGGCCAGGCCAGAGGTTTTGTGGCCTGCAGCCTGGAATCTTCCACAGAAAATAGAGTTGAGGAAGATCCTGCTGCTCTACGCCAAGCCAGTGAAGCTCGGTCGCCATCTCTCCTGTCAACCACAGTCTCTACAGCTTAGGTTCACCTGGGGACTACAGGATCCAGCAGCCATCTGTAAAATTTTTTTAAGTTTTTTTTTTTAATGTGTATCATTGTTTTGCCTTCATGTATGTATTTGTGCCAAGTGTGGCTGGTGCCCACAGAAGATGGAAGAAGGTCTTGAATACCCTAGAACTTGGGTTAGCTGTGAGCTACCGTGTGGGTGCTGGGAAATGAGCCCTGGTTCTTTGCAAGAGCAGCCAGTGCTTTTAACCACTGAGTCATCTCTCTAGACCCAATCCAACCACTTTTAGAACCTGAAGAGATAGAAATAGGGGTGATGGGCAACCCCAGCAAACCTACCTTGTCCCAGCTGTCTGCAAATATTAACACAAGCTTCAAAAAGTTGAATTTGGGTGGTAGTGGTTCACGCCTTTAATCCCAGCACTCTGGAGGCAGAGGCTGGTGGATCTCTGTGAGTTGGGCAATAGCCTGGTCTATACAGTGAGTTCTAGGACAGCCAGAGCTGTGTAGAAAGACCCTGCCTCAATAGGTAAAACAAACCAACAGTTGGATTTGGGCTGGGGAGATGGCACATTGGATCAGGACCTGAGTTCAGTTCTCAAGACCCAGGGGACGCCAGGCATGACAGTACAAGTACACAATCCCAGTGTTGCTGTGAGATCGGAGGCAGGGACAGAAGCTTTCGGACCAGCTTGCCTTGTGTGCACAGTGCCAAACAAGAGGCTGTCTCAAGCAAGGTGGAAGGCGAGGACCAACAGCAGAGGTTGCCCTCTGATTTCCACACCAGCGTTATGGTGTGTGTGCCTACCACCCTCACAGCACAGAGGGGAAGGTTGTTTTTAATTGATCAAAAAGTAAAAGTTGAACTTGGTGAAAAGATCCACACTCCTGGAGCCCTGTCCTGTGGTGACGAAGAATCAACTTCATTGAAAAATAATTTCTGGTTAGGATTGACCCTTGCGCTGTAGAAACAACTTTGTTTTGAGGCATAATTCACATTTACAAAAGGGTGTTTCAGACCTTTGGAGGAGACACAGGGAGGAAGCAGAAAATGTTCCAGTATGGGAGGCAATGAGGCCTCTGCATCCACAGAGGGCCCCAGGTTGGGGGCCACCTCCTTTTCTTGGGCTTTGTCCACCATTACACCATATTTTTTTTTTTTAGAGGAAGAGTCCAAACTCTACCCTCCAAAGCTAGTGTCGGAAATGAAGAGGGCCTGCCAGCCAGGTTGGTGTCTCAGCAAGCTGTTTTCTCAGGGTGCCCTTGACAGGGCTGTTCCCAGGCATGGTCTCTGCCACCAACAGGGGCCCATCGGCTGCTGGACTAGGTAAATCTGTCCATCGGGTCCCAGTCTTCAGCTATTGGGGTAGTCCAAGTCCTGCCTGCTTGGCTCCCTATGCTCTCCTTGCCTTCTTGGAAACGGGTTTCCCATTAATTTACCCTACAAATGGTCATGACTGCACCCGTCTGTGACCAAGCCCAGAAAGGAACACAGTTTGGCTCTAGTTTCCAAGTGGGACCTGTGGCAGGCAGGCACGCCTGGGAGCATGCACGTGGCACTCAGCTATCCTCATTCTTCCTGGGTGGCAGAACAGCAGGACATCTATGTGGGGCACCCCAGCAATACTCACTGGCTGTAAGAGGGTGTCCAAGAGGCCTGGGCTGCCTTCTCTGCCTAAGTGGCCTTATGACACAGCCAGGCAGCGGGCTGTATTCTCCACACCTGCTGGCCTGTGTATGCCAAGCAGGCAAGGCTGCCTGGAGCCAGGCACGGCGGCATTTATGGGGTGTGGGAGTGCCAGGCAGACAGGCTGTATGAGACAGTTGCCTGGGAAACATCGTAGGATCCGTCAAGCAGCAGAGTGGTTGTTCAGGCCCGCACATGGGGTGTGGGGGGCAAGGGTGTGCGGGGGAGGGGGAGGCTCAGATGTTGCAGCTCCTTTATGGTTACCTCCTCGTGCCTCCAGTTGGGGATCGTGGCTAGGACCTGCACATGGTCAGCAGGCCAAAGCCAAGGGTGGGGCAACCAAACCCAAAAAGCCAACAGACACTGGGAGAGAGGGCACTGGGAACGAGAACTTGCCCTATTTCAGCTTTCACCTCTGGGTCACCATTCCAGCTAACATTTCCACCTGGTCACTTCTGTCTGTTCACAGTGGTCCTTCTAACATACTATTGCAAACCTTCTTATGGCCTGGCTCATGCTCTGTCCAGGGCCCAAGCCTTTGTTGACTTTTTCTCCAGGTGGCCAGCTCCTGTAGCCCTAAGGCCCAGCCTTAAAGTGAAGCCTCCCAGCCCTGCCCCCTGATGTCCTTCTAGGTTTTCCTGAAGCACAAAGCATAGGGTAATTTCCAGAGGGCAGTCCTGAATACTGTGTCCCAGCTGTGTCCAGAGCTTCAGAAGGTACAGCAGGGACCAGGACTGAGCCCTAGGGAGCAGGGGTGGCAGAAGGGGAAAACTTGGGGCCCCTCCTGTGGAGACAACAAGTCAAGCAGAAACCAAGTTTTCCTGGTGTATGGGGTGAGTGGGAGCCCCAGGGGACTCCCCAGGGAGGCTGTGGTTTCTCAGCTCCCACAGAGTCAGCCCTGACCCGGATCCAACAGCATTTACAGGAAACCTGCTCATGGGAAGGCCCTTGACCCAGATGCTGGAGGTCCCTTAAGTTTCTGGACCCCTCAGCCAGGTGGGGTTCAGGCCTCCAAAGGCATTTGAAGTACACAAATCATGGGTGGTGTTTATCACACCCTTCAGTTTCAGACTGTGACCCGTGATACTTTAACTTTCTGGTTTGGGGTTTTTTGTTGATTTTTTTCCACTTGCTCCTGAGGATAGAACCCAAGGGGTGCTTCCTGAGCAGCACCCCCACCATGAATGGCTCAGAATCCTTCACATGGCACCACATGAACAGCCCAGATACTCCTTGTGCTGGAAAATCAGGCAGGTGGGCCATCTAGACCCTGCACCATAGCTCAGGCGCCTGAGATCCAGGGATACAGGGACAAGAGCAACTTCTCTAAGCTTCACAGCACTTTCTAGAAGAAATCAGAACACAGTGAGCAGGGAGTTGAGAAGGCACTGCCCTGGGGTTTGTCTTGTGTTTGCTCGCATGGAAAAATTGTATGCTATAGAAAAAAAAAAATGACCTGAAATGTATTTGGCTCAATTAATGTGTGGTGTGTGGTGTGTGTGTGTGTGTGTGTTCCTAA